TCTCTCTCTCTCTCTCTCTCTCTCTCTCTCTCTCTCTCTCTCTCTCTCTCTCTCTCTCATTCCCCTTAGCCATTGTTCGTTTAAATTGCGGACTAGAATTTAATCGAAGATTAAAATTTAATCTGGTAAATACAAGTTTGATTCGTAATATCGAGGATAATTTTTGCCCTTTGTCTCTCTCATACAAGCATACTCATTCACCCTCACTTCCTCTCCCTTCTCAGGCATCGATAGTGTACGGTAATTTTCATAATTATGACCCGTCGCGTCGCGCTTACCTTAAAGCCACGTTTCCATGTACATATTTCCATGTATATATATATATATATGTATGTATATATGTATATATATATATACATCGGTGAAAAGGGACTCGTCTCAAAATTTGTTCTTTATCGACGATCAATTACTCATCGTTCGATCGTCTATAGTATAGGAAACGTAGCGTTAAGGAGTCGTTGTACATGGTCGCTTTTATTTTCGTGTCTGTGAATAATACCGCTATTAGAGAGTTAAGTGTGGTAATTAAGTATAATATACAAGATGATGTACGTGTAATGTTTTCGCATGTTCCGAGTTTCTTCTTCTTCTCTTCTCTTCTCTTCTCTTTTCTTTCTTTCTTTCTTTCTTTTCTTTTTATCTTTTTGTACAGTTATTTACATATGGATGCAAGCTTTACAGTGCCACCGCTTTATAACATCCGGTTTAAAGATGCCGGCGCATCTTCATCGCGCAGAAGAAAGTCTCTTGGCCTTTCGGCACATTCGCCTTTCTTTCTCTTTCTCACACGCATACTCTCTCTTTCTCCCTTTCATTCTTTCGCTCTCTCTCTTCTTTTTTTTTTTTTTATCATCGCATATAAGCTCTATCACATTGGCTTTAAAAGCCGTGTCATTATCGCGATTAAAATTCGAATGGTAATAAAATAATACAATATAATCAATAATAATAATAATATTAATAATAATAATAATAATAATCGTAATAATAATAAAATAGCAGTGATAACGTAAGCCTAATAATACGATAATATTGGTAGTAACTGATAACCTCGATCACCGATCGCTTCATATCTCTCACTTTTTCATTCTCTCTTTTTCTCATTCTCTCTTGCTCTCGCTCTCTCTCTCTCTCTCTCTCTCTCTCTTTCTCTACGTAGAAATAGAAAAAAAAAAAAAAAAAAAAAAAAAAAAAAAGAACACAAAGAACTATATTCATAAGTGGACAGATTTTTTTTTTTTTCTTGATCCTGCATTGCTTGTCCATAGAACGGAAGAACAGCAAACGGAAACCACGAGCTACGAATGAAAAGAAAAAGAATAGGAGAGAAATATAAGAATAAGATAACAATACTAACCGAAGTTCCTTGATGATTAATGCTTGCCCCTTCGGAAGTGAGATAGACAAGCAAGTAGCAGGATGAAGATATTGAGAGGACACAATTTTCTTTTCGTTTCTAATCGTTTTACTTTACTTTGTTTATTTTTTTTTTTCTTCTTCTTCTTCTTTTCCTTTTTTTTTTTTTTTTTTTTTCCTTCCTTCACGAAAGACGACGCGCCCTATTTAATAACCGAACAGACAAAAAAAGGTACGTAGTCGGAGAGCGGAGTGTAATAACATTAACAGCTTAATGACTATGGGATAGGAGAAGTGTATAAACAATATAACATGAATCACAATTATGCAATAATTATTAATCGCTCATAATCTTCGCCGCCATAATTAGATAAAATTAATAATAATTCGATCTAACAACTTTCTGGTTACTCCGTAGATTGCACTCTATCG